CATGTACATCATAATAGCCAGGGGTTGTCCCAGTATAATGGACACCCATACCACCACATTACCAGGCTGACCTCTCATCACTTCTAATGACGTTAATAGAGCTAGCGGTACCTGAGGGGGAGGGGCATTAGTGGGTGGAGTTAGTAGGTGTGGCTTACTTGAGATAACATAGCAGTGAATGCCCAGGGCCTTAACATACGCAAAGGAATACTAACCAAATACTGAGAGGAAGAGAGAGAGAGGGTTTAATGTGATAAAAATGATGAACTCTCTCCTAGTCATTTTTTATGACATACCCTACACTATAGTACAGGGTCTTTGGTATAGAAGCACTTAACATAGACTAGTGTGGAATGATCCACTGTACTAGTGCATCACACTATGCTATGAAGCCAGGATTATTATCACAGTAGATAATGATAATACTACAGACACTGGGTATCTCCCTAAACTGATACCATTATACCCATACCATATATGGTAATAGACTAGTAGTTGGAGCAACTTCAAAAATTCATTAAAAATCCAATTTCAATCAGAATCAGTTCAAACTTTCTACCCACCATAAGTACCACTCACTTCATGAAAGAAAGCTGATAATAGGAACACTGCTATCTGAGACATAACCCTGGAATACCCTCTACTGAGCAACGGGTAATACACATGCCTATTAATAACCATTAATAACTACTATTAATAACTAGCTCCACCCACCTAGCAGCCCAGCGGTGTACTGGTACGTTCCAGTGTCTCCAGAAGGTATCAATACTGTCAGCGTTCCACCAGTCCTTGTAGAAGGAGCGATCACCAAACCTCAGTAACTCAGCAAGGACGTTGAGATAGGAATGGAAATAAAAATAGAATAACAATAACCAGAGGAGGTGATTAGGGAGCTATTGGGTGGGAGGGGCTAATAAATATTAATGAGGCAATTAATTAACTAACCGCTAGTAACAGTCCTCTCTGTATCATCATTAATAAATCCATTGACTAGCAATAATAATAAAATAATAAATGAATATTAATTAATGTACAACCGTACATGTACAGAGCAAAGCTTTTGAAGCATAAATATTTGCTGATGATTGATTAACTTTCTAATTTTGAGGTATAAACAGTGGAATTCACAAAAGTTTCAACTTCAAACTACTGCATACCATAAAATTTATGTGACAAAAAATTTTTGTGAATTTTGCAATTTTTGTTCTGTCGCAAAAAATAAAATTGCAAAAATTGCTTAATTGCCAAGTGGTTCAGTTTGCAAGCTATTCGCAAAAATTTATTTCACGAAATCTTAGAATTGCAGGATTTGAAAAAATTTCATGGTATACAGTAAATAGCATTATTATTATTATCATTATTATTATTATTATTATTATTATTATTATTATTATTATTATTATTATTATTATTATTATGCAATAAGACACAAAGGGATAAACAATAACATAGAAAGAAAAAGGGAGTGGCCCTTAGAGAATTAGAAAAACTACAGAAAGCAGACAGGAAAATAAACGAGGAGTGGATGAAAGAAGAGGATAGAGGAGAGAAAAGAGAAACTATAAAAGAGTCAAACAAGCCCATCGACTTGCGGAGGAAGAGCAGCAAATCGGCAGGACCACATACAGGCATTAAAACGCCATAAAGTTACCGAAAGACGTTGAAGGAGATGGTGTGATACTTCAACAGGAGGAAGGCCATTATCATTATTATTATTATTATTATTATTATTATTATTATTATTATTATTATTATTATTATCATTATTATTATTATCATTATTATTATTATTATTATTATTATTATTATTATTATTATGAGAGAGAGAAGGAGAGATGTGGGAAAAGGGGGAGAAACCATTATTATTATTATTATTATTATTATTATTAATTACCTGAAGTGGTTCCAGTGATCCCATTACAGTAGGTACTAGCCACTGCTGTGACAATGCTAACAATATATTAACTAGAAATATCTAATAATAATTAATAGAAATAAAGTAATTATTAATAATGATATATTAAACGTACTGATTCAAGTGTTCTTCTTAATAAAAATATTTTCCTAATTTTTGGTGTTCGAGGATAGTTCAACTCATAACACAGTGTAGGAGCAGCAAT